GAGTCTCAAGCTGGCAGAGGAGAATCAAGAGGCGCTAAGGACAAATCTGGCTACATTAAAATTCTATTACAGCAGGTCTTGGTGCCCGTGTCTGCTGTCGGGCAACAACAGCATCTAAAGACCATCCCCCTGGCCACTCTGCCATATTGCAGGATGCAGAACCCTGGCCTTGGCATAGCCAGGTAGTAATTTACCATTCAAAACCCCTACCCGCAGGTCCCTTCTCTCTTCTGTCAACCCTCTCCACCACCTCCTTCAAGTCTTAGATCAGGAGATCTAGCTGGATTAATTTCACCCCAATCTTGTCATTACTTAACGCTATATCCCAGTTGCCATTGCATTTTTTTCTTTTCTGTTAAAGTTCTCAACAGATTTTTTTGCAGCTTTTTTGATTTTGAGGTAACAGATACACCAAAAACTACATATTTAAAGTGTATAGTTTGATGATTTCTGACATATGTATACATCCATGAAACCATCACCACAATCAAGATAATGAACATATGGATTACTCCCAAAAGTTTTTTTGGGCTACTTTGTCATTTCTCCCTCCTGCTCTTCCTACTCTACTCTACTCCATCTTCAGGCAACCACTGATCTGATGTCACTGTACATAAGTTTGCATTTTCTATAATTTTATATAAATGGAATCACATAGTATAGTCCCTTTTTTGTCTGGTTTCTTTCATTCAGCATAATTATTTTGAGATTCATCCAAGTTGTAGCGTGTATCAACAGTTCATTCCTTTTTATTGCTGGGTAGTATTCCATTGTGTGGATACACCACAATTTGTTTATCCATTCATCTGCTGATGGACATTTGGGTTGTTTCCAGTATCCAGCTATTATAAATAGAGCTGCTATGAACGTTTATGTACATATCTTTATGTAGACATATGCTTCATTTTACCTAGGAGTGGAATTGCTGGGTCATATGTTAAGTGTATGTTTAAGAGACTGACAAACTGTTTTCCAAAGTGGTTGTGCATTTTACATTCCCACCAGCAGTGTATGAGAGTTTTAGTTGCACCATATCCAACACTGGTATTATCTTTCTTTTTTATTTCAGCCATTCTAGTGGTTGTACAGTTGAATCTCATTGTGGTTTTAATTTCCCTTCCCTAATCACAATGATGGAGCATCTTTTCATGTGCTTATTTATAAATCTTCTTTGGTGAAGTATTGTAACAGACTTTTTTCCCCTTCCTTTCCATATTCTGTTCTTAGCTTTCTTGGCTCTTTTTATTTGGATACTGAAGAACCATGCATTAGCATGGGTCATAAGAAGACTGGCAAATGCCTTAAAATTCTTCTTTCTTTATAAGGACCCTGGCTTTCTCCTCCTTGTGGGTTCCTCAGCAGAAGTGCCTCTCCTCTGGGTCACCTCTTCTCCTGGTTGTTGGGAGCCACACTCTTTTAGCTCCTGCACAAGGGCTTACAAGGACTTCATAGACTTGTACAATGATGCAATTCTCTCATGGACACCAACTACCCTTAACTCTTCTAAGCTGAACCCCTTGCCAGGCCAAACTTCGGTTGATACCTGACAGTGGGTATTTTACTACTGGCTAGACAGATCCAGACGCAGAGCATGGGGAAATTCAGTGTGCTTTTGCTGTTTGAGACTTGCATTTGTGGATCTTCTGAGCTGGCTGGTTGAACCTTATGTAGCAACTCAATGCTGCCAATTCTTGTGGAAGTGGGACTTGAGAATCATGCCATTTTGGCTGAGTCCCATGGCTGCTGCTAACTCTCTTTCCGTGGAGTGTAGTCAAGTAGAAAGCTGCATTCATTCTCAAATCTGCATTGTATCATTCTGTTCCACTTGATGTATTATTTGGAATAGTTCTCAATCTATTTATGAGGTGTGGTCACTTCCAAATGGATTGTACACCCTTGGAGGGCAAGGATTAATACTTCCAGGAAATCTGTATCCTTTATCAAAGCACCATGGTGTTCTAGATACAGAAGATCCTTGATAA